TCCAACCCCAACCACAGAAGGTCAGTCCCATCAGGAAACGCCTCCAAAGCCCTATGCATTGAGCCCTTCTGCTCTTCAGAACTTCAGCATGAGATGCAGACTTGGGAGACTGCCCCAGACTGGATCCCAGGGGCCCAGTTCCCTAAATAAATGAGAGCGCTCAGCAGGTGATGCCACTTGCCACCAAGCCCTGAGGCCTGGGACCTACAGGTTGGAAGGAGAGAACCGACTCCCACAAGTTGTCTTGACCTCCACAAGCATTGTAGCAACCTCCCTCCTCATCTTCAATACATGTTAAAAAAGGAAAAACAGTAAAAATAAATAATAGTAATAATAAAACGCTAGCAAAGCCCCTCCATTCTTTCCTCATAAATGGATCATAAACTGCAGTTTGAAAAACAGTCTGGATTTTGTGGGATAATGGGAAACACTGAATTCTGAAACGTAGCTTTCCCGGGCTATCATTCTTGTTCTTACTTTCTGGAAATTCTATGGTAAGAACAAAATAATCTCTGCTAATGGCAGGAGTTTTTAGCTTCTCAGGCTCTCCACAATCCTCCTGCCTTTGCCTCTCAAATTCTCTAGGGCTCCAGGATGCGAGCTACCATACCCAGTTACTTTGATTACCCCTCAGTCCTGGGGAAACACCCGCCAAATCCTGGGTTTTGTTCTTTTAAAAGAATATGATATAATGGGATGTCCTGGGCGGCTCGCGGAGTCCGGCAAGGATGGCCGTGAGTCCCTGCAACGCCATGCGGCCGGGGGAGTCAGGCGGGCGGTTACGGTGGATAAAAGGCTCATAGGACATAGTATTATTTAAAGAAGAGAGAGACATTTATTGCTTAAAGAAGAGAAAACAGAGAGAAAACAAAGACACACGTACACACACACACACACACACACACACACACACACAGGCACCAGAGAGAGAGAGAAGATGGCTGTGGGGGGAGGTCCAAAAGTGGCTGGGGTGGGCGTGGTTCTTAAAGTGGCAGCAGAAGACCAACATTCCCAGATCCTTTTTATAATAAAAAGTAGAAGGTTAGACATTACAGGTTGAAGGAATTGGGGCGGCGAATTCTCAAGACTGCTTCCAGCTGATTTGTGGGCATTGTCTTTGGGGGTGTGTGGGGGTGAGGGAGATCCGAGAGAAGCTGGGTGTTGGTCACGTCTTGGCATAGCTGGTCTCTGCTCCCGACAGGACAGGTGTCTGTGGCATGGAAATGTCTGGTGTCCCTTGGACCTGGTTAGGGTGTTGGCAGAACAGAGGACAAAGTTAAATTGAGAAAAAAATTTTTAGGACCAGGGAATTGAGGGGTTTGTATCTGACCTGTTTATGATGGGTTTTTTAATTTGGCTCCCTGGAACTTATAAGAAAAACAGAAGTTTTAGACATATATATTGTATTAAGAACTCCTTGGGTTTATAAAAACAGAAATTATAATGAAAAGTATTTTTATTTGGTGAGACAACCTGGCAAAACCTCTCAGCTATCAGACTGTCAGAGATCTTTGAGAAGGATAAGATTTTACTTGAGTTACTGATTAAAAAATGACAGAGAACTTACTTGGTTGGCACCCAGAGCTACTCTTTGGTCCTTCCTGGTCGCTGAAGATTGCATTTGACCTTTGTTGTTTAATGTAGAGCCTGCCAGGCTTTTGAAGACCCTGTGGACTAAGAAATCTTTAGGAAGACAGGTCTACCTTACCTGCGCAGCTAGACTGTTGATTCCAGTGATCCTGTCCACGTTTGGAGGTCTCCAGTTTAGGTGATAGGCAGTTTTTGCCCAATGGTCAGCGCTTGGCAGTTGAAGCAAACTGCAGATGGACGGTGGTCAGTGACGGTTTGTCTTATGTCTTCTCGGAGGAAACAGAGTGCTTGCTAGGAGCCAACCTGTCTCTTTTGGTTATGAAAAGTTTTTTAAATAATTAAATAATTAATATCGCATTCCCCAGATCTCTGAGCAGTTGAGGGCTGATTATTAGGTATAGCTGCCGTATAGAATCTGTCTGGAAGATTCAGTTTGAGTAATAGGTAAGATCCACATTTGTAAAAAGACAGACAGAAAGAAAAAAACTGTTTGTAACATTAAGATTAGTGGCAGAACTGACAATGGTAGAAAACAGCTTAAAAGTACACACCAGTTTATGATTTTGTAGTCTGAAACGAGATGAAATGAACAATCATTATACATAGAGAACAGGAATTAGGCAAAGTGTATGTTTCTGATGGGCCCTATCAGAAAGCACGTCACTATGCAAAACACCTGTAATGACAGCTAAGGAGAGATTTCAGTGAACACTGAGGAGGGGGAGGGGAAATCAGGACATACATAACAGTGGGAGGGCCTGGTCGCGTGATCTGGCTCTCAGTGAATCTAGCGATAAAGTCACCTGACCCCAATGAACATGGCGGCGGCCACGTGTTGCAAGGGAAAAGTTATAGTTTGTTGTTGAGCTATGGTTGAGCCATGCCAAACCATAAGCCACAGAGGGGAGCAAAAGTCTGGAACCGAGAAAAAAACTGCACCAGGTCACGGCTGGCATGGAAAAGCCCGCGACTGTCTGCCATGGACGATTGTTATCTAGAGTCTGAATCGTGAAAACCCGCGCAACGAATGCACCCAAGACCACGTGAATGAGCATCCTCAAGTCACGGGTGGGGAGCTATGGGCCTAGCTGGATAAACCAGAGGCTGGGGCCCGCTCCTGAAGCGACGGTAAAGAAACTGAGGACCCGGTCCCCAGATGAATGTCGAATGCACAGCACGGGAATGCAGTGCTAACGCAGGCGGACCAACTCCCGGGGTCGTCCAAACACGATTCCAGCAAAGGAAAGCAACCTTCTGTAGCAGAACGAGGAGCGACTCACCAAGTGAAGCCGGGGTTGTTTGTAACAGGTGGGTTGATGTTGAGACCTCGGTTTCGATTCAGTCCCGGAAGTTGGAGCTCAGAATCCCGGAGGATATGTGAAGCCGGGACCGGCCCTTGATGGGTGAATCTCTTGAGTCCGCGGCACCAATTTTGTTCTTTTAAAAGAATATGATATAATGGGATGTCCTGGGCGGCTCGCGGAGTCCGGCAAGGATGGCCGTGAGTCCCTGCAACACCATGCGGCCGGGGGAGTCAGGCGGGCGGTTACGGTGGATAAAAGGCTCATAGGACATAGTATTATTTAAAGAAGAGGGAGACATTTATTGCTTAAAGAAGAGAAAACAGAGAGAAAACAAAGACACATGTATACACACACACACACACACACACACACACACAGAGGCACCAGAGAGAGAGAGAAGATGGCTGTGGGGGGAGGTCCAAAAGTGGCTGGGGTGGGCGTGGTTCTCAAAGTGGCAGCAGAAGATAACACTGGGGTACTTGTTTTAAGAAGCAAAATTGAAGCTTGGGCTTATATCTAGTCATTAGCAGAGTTTGGGGCTAGATTTTTATGGTAAAATCAAAAAGGAAAAAACAAAACAACCCTAAATTCCAGGTGCAGCACGAGTTTCACTTGGCATGTATCTACCCACAATCGCTTCTCTTCTCCTGCACTTTAATGTCAGGGACCGCTTTTCACTGACAAGTTCTGCGAGACTCTCTCGCTTGCTGCTGTCGAAGTTTCGTGGAGCTTATGTAAATTCTCTTATTTAAGATACTTCTGAGTGTGGACAATGTCAGTATATCCCGGTGGCTCTTACTCTTCGATATTTTTCTTGGCAGGTCCTCACGGGACAGTGCTTGTGAGAGCCTGCTCATGACTTTGGACGATGGGCAGACATCCCATATGCGACTTGGGTCTCTTTGGAGGTCTCTGCTGAAAGTGGTTGTTCTGGAGATTTGTGTTCATTCCTACCAGGTGCCTCCATACTCTCCTAATTTGGGTACCAGTTAATATTTTATTTTTAAGGAGCATTTGCTTAGTTTTGTGTGGGGGCGGGGCATCATAGAGCATGTATGTGGAGGCGAAGGACCAATTTTCTCTTTCTACCTTTTGGGTTCCAGAGATAGAACAAAGGTCCTGAGGCTTGGCTGCAAGTACCTTTACCCGCTGAGCCCTTTAGTCAGCCCTGGCACCATCTTAAAAACCATGGTTTGGGGTTTTTTGTGAAGTTTTGTGTTTTCCATTCTGCCCAAATTACCTTGATATCGCAATGACAAACATCTGGCAAAAGTAACTTAAGAATATATTCTGCTTTTATCTTATTTTTAGTTTTTCAAGACAGGGTTTCTCTGTGTAACCACCTTAGCTGTCATTTGTAAATCAGGCTGGTCACAAACTCAGAGATCTGCCTACCTCCGCCTCCCGGTGCTGGGATTAAAGAGCTGTACCACTGTGCCCAGCTAAGAATATATTCTAGTTCAGGATTCCAGGAAAGGCCCAGTGACGACAGCATGAGGTCACATGCTCATTCCTGCGGATAATGAAGCAGAGAGCTGGGGGTGGAGTAAGGGGGCCTGCCCACGTAGAACCCACGGCTCAGCCCTGTCTACTGCCTTGAGCTCGGTAGGTTCCTCTTTTTAAAAGTTCCACAACCTTATAGAACAGCGCCACCAGCTGGGAAACAAGTGTTCCAACACATGAGCCTGTGGGGTCATTTCATCCTCAAGTGGGGACAATCACCAGAGGGCAGGTGGTACTTTTGGAGAGACTATGTAAACTCAAGATGGGAGCTCATCCTGGGGGGGGGGGAGCTTGCTGGAGAAGGGATCTCAGCTGCTAAACACACGCAGACAGGTCTGGGTGTAACATTCAAGGTAAGTGTAACTGACCCTGGCCTTGGCCTCTTTCCTTCTGAGGCCCGGAAGTTGTGGAAGTGCAAGCTGTTTTTAACTTCCAGATTGAAATCCCCGTCTAGGAATCCTGGGAATTCCTTCCTTTCTTCTGAGCTCTTTTGAGATCTCATAGCGTAAGGAGCACACATTTCATAGCATAAGATTATAACACAGATTTATAAAGTTAGCAATTCTTTCTCAAGTCATTTGAAACAAAACAAATAGAAAATAGTCATTATGATTCCGACTTTATTGCTTCTCAGGCATGTCATCCATACAGTCTTAAGGAAATAGACTCTGAGAAAATATACTGGGGGCATATCCGGTGACGGCGACGTTGATGACAGAGTTCAAGTGTTCACACAGGTAACAGGAGGCGCCGCTGCCACCGGCTGCCCCAGAGATTTGTACAATTCATAGAAAAAGAGTAAAAATAGTTCATTGGCATTTAACTAGCATTATTCTTTGCGATCTAAGACCCACAGTAACTTTGACCAGTGTAATAGCTTTAAAACAGAACGAAACGCTTTTTTTGCCCATTACAAGATATTTCTTAAAAAAAAAAAAAAGAAATCAAGATGACAATAAAAACTACACAGACAGAACCTTGAAAATAAAAGATGTCATAGTCTGGGTGTCTTCAATGTCAATATTAACCCATGGAGCAACACGGGAGTCAGCTCTTTCAAATGCGGGCAGACGCTTTCAGTGTAAGTACACTTACTTTACAGCTCACATGGTTTATCTGAAGCCAAGGGTAACTCTGGGAAATCCATGGACACCTCTTAGGCTGCTCTAATGCTGCGGTAACTTCTTTAAAAATTGTCGGCTACACTACACGGTACAACTTGGCATTCTGACAACGTTGAAGCATAAACAGTCACCGCAACACACACACACACACACACACACACACACACACACACACACCCTCCAGGTTAAACTACCACAGGTTTCCTTTCCTAATGACTTCAAGAACCAAGCATGTGAAAGACTTGTGTGTATATTATTAAAAAGAATACATCTGGATATTTGACTATAAAAACAAATAAAAAACCCACTGAAAAGCAGACCCCCCCACACACAACAACTAAGCACTACGCCCAGGATTGGAAATGTGTTTTATGCTGAATCCACTGAAAGACCTTAGTTACCAACAAAACATCACAATAGCAGATAATAGGAATTTATTAAAACCACGGTCTCCAACAATACAAAATTAAATATTAAGGCATCTTGTACTCATCCTGGCATGTGCAGCAAAGAGAAATATTTGAAACAAGAGCTAGCACTTATTCAAATGCCTTCTGAAGTATTTGGCACATCTGTTGTTTCTGTTTTGTCTGTTGTATGATATATCTATGTATTTGTGTGTGTTGCCTGTTGAGGCTCGAGATCTATTATATGTCTTCTTCCTCTATTGCTTTCTACCTTATTTACTTGAGATAGCATCTTTCACTGAACAGGGAGTTCAGGGATTTCGCCAGACTGGCTGGCCAGCAAGCACCAGGGATCCTCCCGTCCCTGCCTGCCCAGCACTGGGTTTCAGGCGCATGCCTGGCTTTCTACATGGCTTGGGCCCTCGTGCTTGCCAGGCAAGCTTATTGACTGAGCTCCTTCGCAGGCTCTCAGTTTTCTTCTTATATTCTTTCTACTCTTCATAGAATTGGAAGATCTCATGATCAAACATCTTCACCCAAGCTAAGAGAAAAGTATAACTAGATATCAATTTATTAAGGGGAAGCACTTGACTGCTGACGAATGAGGAACTACAGAAAGAATCAGAACTCTCAGCACCAGTACTGAGATTGCTCTGAGGCAGCTTTCTCTTTGTTATCCAAGCAGGAGATGGCGACTTAAGGGGAGACGCCATGGAGTACCAGCGATGCTATCCTGGGCACCACTGACTCACCCCTCAGGGCCGTCCACTGCCGACGATGCTCCCTGGCTTCAGAGAGTACTCTCAAGGGTTACGCTTTCACCTTTTATTAAGGCAAGCTTGTGAAAATAATTTACTACAACCAGATCTCTTCGTGGACTTTCCACTTCTATTTTTAAAGACACGTACAAAAGAGCTATGTCTTGTAAAAAGCCACCCGGTGCCAGAAAAGGTAAGGAGACGTGTTGATCCGGGTTGCTTTGCAGAGATGCTCTTGCTTCTTCTGCGGGTATTACTCATCGTCTTTAGAGCCAGTTTTGCTTAACTGATAAAAAGAGAAAAAAAAAGATACAAGTATTAAGTTGAGGTGATGACAGTACCTGAGTTATTATTTCTATCAAAAAAAATCAAAAAGTAAAGACATAAATAAACAATCGGAAATCAAGTTCAAGTCATGGGAGTTTAAACTGTAACCATTCTGACAAGTACTTTCTACCTCTAGGCCATATTACTTCCGACAGGTTTAAAAACACCCCCCAAAGCTGGTTACAGAACAACGTGAAGTAGGGGATATCCCATCAGCTCTCTAAGAATAATTCAGATCCAGAAGACTCATACAGAGGCAAAGGTCATTGAGTCAACGGCATTTTAGTGTCTCTCCTCAGTGTGTTGATGAACACGTATTAACCCGGTATGCACTTTACTGTCTGTCACCTGGTAGACGTGTGGGAACGAGAAGTAACCTGCCCCAGAGCCTAGCTGTCAAGCATAGGAATGGCTTCCCACCCAAGGCAGTCCGACTCAGTGGTCCTTAGCTGAGGTCTTAACTCCTCACATACTATTTCATGCATGTGTCAATCTAACAAAGCATGAGATTGACAGACAATAAACTGTTATTTTTTTTAAAAAAAATATGTATACATTTTGTGTGTGTGTGTGTGTGTGCGTGTATGGCTGCATAGGTGTCTGTGTGCGTGCCCAGGTGCATCTGTGGAGCTGAGGGGACAACTTGTATGAGTCAGATCTTTTCTTCTATCACGTGGGATCTGGGGACTGAACTCTGGTCACCAGGTGGACAGCAAGGGCCTTTACCTGTAATATGGATGTATATGTACTGGGGACCTATATCCCCAGACTAAAAGATAAATTCTTTTCTAAATCTAAATTCTTTCTAATGTGTACATGTAGTGTGTATATGTGTGCTAGGCTTGTTCTTGTGTGTTTGTGTGAATAATCTTTCTAATAATTAAAAAAATTGTTGTTACAATAAAAACAATATACCTCACCGATAACAAATTCTTAAACTGTAAGTGTGAAACCACAATCTAACAAGTTTTGAATTTGTTGTTTTTGTTCCGATAAGAATCTGTGGGAAGTGGTGATAAATTTGGGGCTGAGGCAGATTAATTCTCAAACAACACAAGCATGCGTCCAATCAGGATCAACACTGTGGTGTGAGAGAAAATGGCTCCCAGAGGCAGTGTCACGGTTAAGAGGTGTGGTCTTGTTGGGCTAAGTGTGCCTTTGTTGGAGGAGGTGTGTCACTGTGGAGGTGGGCTTTGAGGTTTCCTATGCTCAGGCCACATCCAGGAGTGACTTCTCTGCTGTCTGAGGACCAAGATGTAGAACTCTCAGCTCCCTCTCCAGCACCATGTCTGCCTGCACACTGCCATGCCCGGTCATGATGCTAATGGACTAAACCTCTAACCTGTAAACCAGCCCCAATTAAATGTTTTCCTTTATAAGAGCTGCTGTGGCCATGGTGTCTCTTCACAGCAACAGAACCCTAACAAAGACAGCCAGCGGTTATCACAACCACATTCTGAATCCGGCAGCGAAGAATGTGGAAGCGGAAGAGGCTCAGGGTCTAAGGGCACTTGCTGCTCTGGGAAGACCCATGCTCAGTTCCTAGAGCCCACACTGCTCAGCCCAACTCCAGTTCCAGGGGACCTGACACTTCTTGTGACCTTCACGGGCACCCACACATGGCGCACACACCGACAAGCAGGCTAGGAAAGTGGTTTCACCAGTCAAGATGCTTGAGGCTAAGCCCGACAATCCGGGTTCACTCTCCCGGATCTACATGGTGGAAGGCGAGAACCAGCTCTTCTGAGTTGTTCTGACTTCCACAGCCATGCTGCAGTATTTATGTGCGTGCACAAAATAAATAAGTGAAATAAAAGGAGCTTGAAAAAGAATGTGAAGCTACAGAAAGCAGGAGCTAAGAAGGGTAATAGTTCCCCAACACATGGGTCTTGTTAGGTAACAGAAGAAATTAAGGACTTACTGTTTTTAATATGGACTATAGCTGCTGCTTCAGAATTTCAAAAGTTTATTCATATAAAATTAGCAATAAACCTATCATACAACTTTTTTTGTATGTACATATGTAATATATGTACAAGTTTGTGTGAGTGTGGGTACATGGATGCCAGATGTCTTGCCTTTCTATTTTTTTTACATTAGTTTTTGGGACATGGCCTTTCACAAAACTTAAGGGTTTGTTAGTTTAGCTAGGCTTGCTGGGCGATGAGTCCTGACTCCCCAAATGCATGCCACTGAACTCGGCTTTTTATGAGGATGCTGGAGATCTGAACTCAGGACCTCATGCGTGTACAACAGGCAATTTACAGACAGAACCATCTCTCCATCCCTCAATAAGAACTACGTTTTTCTAAAAGAAGACTTGGCATGGTGCCAGCTCTCCATTTCTGCAGATCTCTTTATGATCCAGCTCAACAGAAGATGTCTGGATTCGCACACATTCTCCAATGGGGCTGACCCTGGGGGGCATTGCAGCAGAGGGATGGGAGCTATGTTTCCTACTTAGCTTTAACCCGCTAAGCCCGAGAACATTTAACCCCGAGAAAGCAGAGAACGAAAAGGCTTCAAGAATACTTACATGCTGAGTCCAAAAATGTAAACAGATATCCGTGAGATCCAAAAGGAGGCAGGAAGGAAAACGGAAAACAGACATCTCATTATTTGATGGCAAAAACTATAACAACTTTGAAGACTTGAAAGTAAGTAAGTTATACCTTCACGACATCAACCCAGTTCCAGCCTCGAGGGAGCTCCCCTTTGTGATCTAGAGGACAAAATCAGTAACCTGAGTAAGACCGACCACTGGTTGTAAATGAACCGACATCCTAGCAAATAGTGCCTTTTATACTACTGCACACAACAAGTAGATGAAAGTGTGCATCACACACTACGAAGTTGGAAAAAGCAGTCTGTCGTTATCCTGGAGACACCTGCAGAGTATTTGAGACTTTTGTACCGCACAGTTACAGCTTCAAACCATTGTTTATGAAGACCAACACACTGTTGGTTTCTTTTTATTCTACCATCGACAGACATTAAATAAAAACAGACCTAATATCCCTTCACAAAAGGGCAGGGGCTGGAGCACTTGCTGCCCTTCCGGGATGAGAGCCAGATTCCCAGCATCAACATCAGCAGCTGCCTGCAATTCCAGGTCGAGGGGCTCCAACACCTGTTTGGGGCCTCCACGAGCACTTCACAGACACGGTGCACATGAGTCCGCGCACACCTTTCTGTAAAAGTGTGTGTACACCAACAATGTTTTCCTTTTCCTTGACTGGGAAAATTCAAACTGATGTCCATTTGCCAATTTCCAAGTTAGAGAAAAAGGGGCAAACATTACTGTTGATCGAGCTGGAGTTGATGTTCCTTTTCTGAGGAGTCTGCTATCAGACACATGGGAATTCTTTTCCGAAATCTTATTGTAGAATGAAGTTAACAGCAGGCAAAAATACTAACTCCCTGTGCTCAGATGGAAATGATGCACCAGACTGCAAGCGAAAACTATATTTTACACAGCCTTTAAACGTCCACACCTGTCACACAGGTAAATAAAATCCCACACGACGTTACAGTGTTCAAGTGGGCCACATGTTTTGTTCATTTTTCTAATGTTTCTCAGTGGGAATGTTTATAACTACTTTGTGACTCATTGTCTTTTTCCAAATGATGATGTCATGGTGAAGCAGCAATAAATACGGTTTTTTTTTTTTTTTACTGTGACTAACAGGTCTCTGATTCAAATGTTCCAAGGATAGACTAAGGAATTAATCCTGTAACCCTAAACGTAACAAGCACCCCCACCACAGTGAAGCCCACCCATGTCCTGTGTTAAGAAAGACAAAGAACAATGCACACCTGTCTTATCTGCCAGCTTGCGTTTCTGAGCTTTGGAAAGTTGTTCTTTCTTGTCTTTTTTCTTACTTGATGGGGCTGTGCTGGGAGCTTCAACCGAGATGACACTGGCTATGGGTGTCTGCAAGAACAGAAGCAGATCTTAGACTCGCGCCTTAAAACCTGCTGGATCAGACTAAACATAGCTTCATCTCGAAGGGGGCGGTGGGTTTTGGTTCTTTACAAAACCAAAGGCGTTACTGCTGTTATTCACTTATTCAGTCAGGTGTCCTTATACATCACTGGCCTTGCTCTCGCAGAGGCTCATTTTCAAGGACACCACAGTAGGGTGGCAGTTGGACTGGGACCCCAAGAAGGAAGTCTGGTCACCTATGTTATGTTGAAGATCCGAGGTTCCAACAAAATCGTCTAAATTACTGAACTTGCTGTCATTATTGGTACATCGTTAGAAAAATCATATGTTCCACCTAGCTCTTGTTGGTTTCCTGAAGAAAATCTTTAAAATATTTGGGCTTGCATAGTTAACACCAATGATAGCTAAAATCTAAAAGACTTAACACATGACAAGTATTGCTGTGACTGCATTATACCATTTATTTGGGCCTTACCACAATCGTGTAAAGTATACTCTATTATAACTCCATCTAACAAATGGGAATCTGAGCACACAGAAGTTAAGAAAGTTGGCCAAAGTCACAGGGTTCAAAAAGATGGGCAGGGAGGATTTGAACACATGTTGGCCTCAAATGGAACTAAGATATGACTTTTTTCTTTCTTTCTCTCTTTTTTCTTTCTTCCTCTTTTAAGGCAATATCTTACTTACAACCCAGGTTGGCCTTGAAATTACAGACCTGGCCTCTGCCTCTTCAGGACACATCGCCACACCTGGCTTCAATTTTAATGGATAGAAGTATTTTAATCTTTGCTGAAGGGTAAAATGGACAGAACATAATTCCATTTTCTCCACAAAATAGAAGAAATCTATGATTCATTGTTCTTACTTAAATCAAATGTAATTCTGTTTAAATCTAACACAAAGTCTTTAATTAAAAAAAAAAACAACACAGCAAAAGTTAATTAACATGCCCAGATCAAAACCAGCTGGCAGAACCAACCACACACTCACTGGCGTAGAATTCCCGGGGTGGTGGTTCTCCATGAACTGTTCTTTATTGTCCTTAGCGTACTCGAACAATGTGTAGGTCATGGCGGTGCCAAGGTTCACTTCTACTGCTTCCTGTAGTTTGGCTAAGATGCTCTGCTTCACAGCCGAGGAGCTACAAGGCAGAGAAATCAGACTGTCAGGAGTGAGTCAAACAGAAGGCAAGGACAAAGCAATGAAAACTAAACTACTCACATGGTGTTGTTAAAAAACGCGTTCATAGATATAACCGGAGGCGTTTGGGGATAGGTCTCTGTCCAGGAAATCTCTATTAGGAAGGCTTTGGGATCACCATCTTCACCTATCTGAAGAAAAGGGAATCTTAGGCTTGTGGAAAGTGACCAAAAGACCTAAATTACGACCTGCAAAATGATTCTTTCCAACATCCACGTTCAGACTCAGAAGCACGTATGCTGAGAAGTTCAGATGTTCTGGGAAGGACTGGCCAAGGTGAGAGGACTAGATAGAGTTTCAACTTTAGTCCCCTGGGGCTTCAGGAAGCTCCATTGCTGCTGAGAGCCCATTTCTCAATAGGTTGTCAGCTCGTCAATGCCAAGGATACACTTTACATGTCTGTTTCTGAGGGTGCAGCTAAGACAACAACAACAAGGAACCGGATGACAACAGAGCTGGGGGTGGTAGCACTGGCAGGCGGAGGCAGGAGACTCTCTTGAGCTTGAGGCCAGCGGGCCTACAGAAGAGATACACAGAAGAAACCATGTATCAGAAACAAAACAAAACCTAAAGTGCCAATGGACAAAAGTAATTACCCACAAACTTGTAACAGATTGTCTTTCAACTTTCCAGCTACTAAACAGCAGCAGGCACAAAAAACAGGGAAGCCCGCATAAGCTGTTCAAGGGAGAAGAGATCAGAAAACACAGTGTAAGGCTGAGACAAGAAAAGCAATGGACCCGGGAGAGGATGCCTTAGGCCACAGAGCAATTCCTGGTAAGAAATTCCTGATAAAAATACCCGGTCAAGTTTTTATTTAAAACAGTTTTACTCTTAAGGAAAAGCTAAACTGGCATGATACATACTCACTGGCACACATTTACTAAACATCTGGTCATTTCCCTGTCTTCTCCTCTAGCACAGACAGCAACACCTACTCCTTTAACATGGTTTTCTCCACTTTGGTTTGCAGCACCTACTCCTTTAACATGGTTTTCTCCACTTTGGTTTTTGTTGAAGCATTTAGAAGTAATGAAACATCTTTAGTTATTAAGAGTGAAAAAAAAACCCTTAGGATTTGTTTTATAACCCCAAGACAATCATCCCATGCCCAACAATTCAACATTGCTAAAAAAACTCATCTAATATATAATTTATATTACAAATTCCCCAACTATGCCCAAAGTATCCTTTAACAAATGCTCTTCCAGCCCAGAAAGCTGAAATTCACTGAAGGTTTACTCTATTAGGTTGTCATGCCTCCCTAGTCTACCTTAATAGAACCTTCTCCCTGGCTTTGAAAAGCCTGTTATGACATTAAGAGCTTAGGCTGGTTTTTCTGACTAACATCCCCAAATATAGACAACTACTTTCTCTGTTCAGGTTCAGATGGGGCATTTTGTGCGGAGAGGTGGTGTGGTAAGCTCGTGAGCATCCTATCAGGATTCGCCACCGGGGCTAATTTCTTCAGTGGAGAGGGTAATAAAGAAAATCTGTGCAGTGATAACACACAACTACGTCACTACCCTGTTTCTTAGCAACCTCCGTCTGGAGATTTTAACGTCTGTTAATAATGCTCGTCTGAATCAAGCTTCTCACTCACGGGGCCTGCAAGACAGCTCAGAGGGGTAAAGGCACCTGCTGTCAAGCCCGATGACCTGAGTTTGGTCCCTGGAACCCACATAGTGAAAGAGGACGACCAACTCATATGCATTGTGGCATACACGTGCCTCTCCCTGAACACACACACACACACAACACACACACACACACACACACACACACACACTACATTCAAGCAAAACACTCATATACACAAAATAAAAACAAATTTTTTTAAAAGTGAACTTGGGTTATGGATCTAAGAATAGAGCCATCACTCTACGCGCAAGAGAGGCCCAGGAAGAAGCCTCTTTAAACAGGCTATTGCAGGGCTACTTAAATGCTTCGGAGCATTAAAGAGCAGTTTGTTGATCTTGTGGTTCCGTGTAAGATGGAAGCTGAAAAGACAGAAGTGGAAGCGGGGAAGTCATTTAGGAGCCTACTAAACTGTTCTATTTGAGAACAGAGGGTTGAATGGGAGGATCCCTGACTCTCCTCCTTTGACTGCGGACATATGCTATCCAGTTCTGTGTTTCATTCTATTGCAGAGCGCACACACATATCCTGGACTGTTCTGCATACTGTGCTCAATAAATAATGATGCTGTTACTGGGGAAAATTAGGAAACCACATGGGAATTCTCCATGTCCCTGGTAAAGAAAAGGCGGCAGTGGCTGGGGAAATCTCAGAAGGCAGCTAGTGGGATTTAACCAGAAGGACCAGGTCTTAATTCCATCATGTACTTTGGCCCTTAAGAGTTCCCTAGTGGCTGTGATGGTTGGTAGTGCCAACTTGATGGGATTTAGAGTCACCACAGAAACTGACCTTTTCACAGGGGTCGCCTAAGGCCATCAGAAAACACAGATGTTGACATTATGATTCATAACCGTAGCAAAAGGACAGTGATGAAGCAGTAGTGAAAATACTTTTCTGGCTGGGAGTCACCACGACATGAGAAACATATATTCAAGGTTCACGGCATAGGAGGAAGGAGGAGAATCACTGCTTAGAGTATTTGTTCCCTGGCCACACTTTCCCAAGTGTGAGATAAAAAGAAGCAAGAATTCAAGGCTAGATGTGGGCTACGTGGTGACACTCTGCCCTAAGAAAAACGAACAAAAACCCATTTCCTGTCATAGTCTACAGTACAAGCAAGTTTGAGGGTTATAGATCAACATCAGTGTGACAAGAGTCTAGGAAGCTAGAACCCAGGGAAGCCGTATTTAAGAGAGAGGTACCATGTAGTACTTAAGATTTCTTTTACCGCCAATGCTTTATAATGAATTAAAAAAAATTTTTTAAGGTTCTAAATTAGGTTGGAGAGATGACTCAGGAGTTGCCCTTCCAGGAGACTTGGGTTCATTCCGCAGCACCCACATGTCAACTCACAACTGTCTGTGAGTCTAGTTCAGGGGGATCCAGTGCCCCCTTCTGGGCTCTGTGAGTACCTGACATGTATGTGGTACACTAACATACTTGCCGTCAAACACCCAGACTCATAATAAAATAATATCTTTGTTTAAAAAGGTTCTGGATTAAGTTTTCAAATGTCACCAGTAACAATGTCATAGTGGTAAGTTTTCATTTAACTGTGTCAGGAGGGCTGGAAAGATGGCTCAGTTGTTAAGAGCACTGGCTGTTTCTCCAGAAAAACCCTGTTTGGTTTTTACCATTCATGGCTTACAACCATCTGTAACTCCAGCTTTAGCAGATTAGATGCCGTCTTCTGGCCTCTATGGGCCCCCAGATACAAACACACAAATAAAAAAAAAAAATTCTAGAAAAATAGGAATTTCAGAAAACACAGGAATATAATAAAGTTAATTCACTAAGTTAGAAGATGGAGCCAGATTCTGCAGCCTCCACATCCCCTTCCCTAGCACAGAAATGCATGCACTGTACATGTTGTGTCTTACCCTGTATTGAAATGAAACTGGACTTAATTCCCGGAAACTTTCATCTCCTTCATAAATAGAACGTAAAGCTTCTAGTTCCATCTTAAAAAAAAAAAAAGAATACTGTTTAGTGGCATATATGGATTAGAAAGAGAAAGTTTCTTAGCTTGTTATTCAAAACTGCTCAACTTTGTAAAACATGGCTTACCTTATTGGCCCTAGACACATATGTGTACACATATGTGTACATACCAACACGGACAATTATACTCACAGCAGGTACCAACACAGGACAATTGTACTAACAGCACATACTTTAAGAGTATCTGTTGGGCACAGCTAAGGGTTTTTACATTGTATCAGCTCACTTAATTCTGGCATCCACCCTGTGAAGACCTGATTACCATACTTCCTTTGTATTGTGGAGGAAAGATGTGGATTAAAGCAATTCGAGAATATTTGCATCCCTCTCCTGAACAACTCACTTGAGGTATAGAAAATGTCCTAAACGTGGAAATGAGAAATAAGAGGCACAACAATTTCCCATTTTAAAAAGGACATCAGTTGCTGTGCGGTGGCAGACCAAGCCTTGAATCCCAGCACTCAGGAGGCAGAGGCAGGCAGATCTCCGAGTTCAAGGATAGCCTGGTCTACAGAGTGAGTTCTTGGACAGTCGGTGGGATTAGAGGTGTGCATCACCACCGGCTGGCTCATGTCATTAATTTTCCAGACAAAAGATGGTGATGTTGATTTGCCCTTCATGCACACATTTTAGAACGGATTATAAAGAAACAGCAAACCACTTGAGAGAGTTCAGAATCCTTAGGCTCCAACAAGCCTTACAACAAGATAGAAACCCCCAGATCAGGCTAAGGGTAATATTTGACAGCGTAAGTAGACCTTGCATTAGCACGAAATACCTAAGAAGAGGATGCGGGACGAACTGCTTCCTCTGAAGCACTACGGGGCACTGACTGACAGTAAGCCAGAAGACTGTGCGACACTTCAGTCTCAGCGTAAGAAAACGGAGACTGTTCACACACATTCAATCTCAGGAGAGCAAAGGAACTGAAAGAAAAGATGCATGCAGAAATGTGAACAGGAAGCATACGATTGCTGGTTTTTGTTTTATTTTCCAAAGGCAGCACCTTCAAAACCCGGCAGGAAGCAATCTTCAAAGATCCAGACTGATCATGAGGAAGAATAGAATCTTATTGTTAAAAGTGGAGAGATTCCAGGGCTCTACCCCAGACATTTAGATTCATTAGGTCTGGGGTGGTGTCAGCTCCGGTGGTGTTGGGGGTACTCCATTAGTCAAGTCAGAGAAGCGTTAGATTGTGCTTTGCTGGGAAAAAGAGCTATTTCCAAACTGACACACAATAATTGTATCCATCCGGGCTGGATGGCTCAGTGGTTAAGAGCATGGGCTGCTTTTCCAGAGGACCTTGTTCAATTTTCAGCACGGACATGGTGGCTTAGGCTGTCTATAACTCCATTTCCAGGTATCCAACACCCTCTTGTGCCCTCTGTGGACATCAGACATGCAAGTGGTGCACATACATTCAAGCAGGCAAAACACTCATATACATAAAATAAAACTATTTAAAAGAATTGTATTTTGGGGGTACAATGCAGCCCTTTGAAAAGTGTACCTATCTATCACCTCAAATTTTCAATCATTTATTTGTCAAGGAGAAATGCAGAGGATGCTTTTATCTGTCTGTCTGTCTATCTATCTATCTATCTATCTATCTATCTATCTGTCTGTCTGTCTGTCTGTTTATTTAGTTTTTTGAGACAGGGTTTCTCTGTGTAACAGTCCTGGCTGTCCTAGAACTCACTTTGAAGACCAAGCAGAACTCTCAGAGATCCGCCTGCCTCTGTGTCCCCAGTGCTGGGATTAAAGGCTTGTGCCACCACCTGGCAGAATGCAGAGGATACTTTTAAACTAGCCGTGCTACTGTGTGGCAAGACATCAGACCTTGCTCCTCTCTTTTTAAGTTTGTATCCACTTACTAGTCATTCCTTTTCCCTTTCTATTCTCGCCCCTGAACTCATTAATGCTTTGGAGTCCCTGAGCTGGTAAGAGTAGCTGATTATTCAGGCACCAACTAGCTTGTTGGATTTGGGGGTTCTTTACAGAACCTGTAACCTAGAGCTTTTATTAACACCCACACCATCAGTATGCTAACTTTTAAGCAACACACTCAAAACAGTGAATTACTACATTCTTCTTCCAATCCTTAATCCATCACGTTCACCCTGGGGCACTCTACAACGGCAGATGCTCTTTCTCACCTGAACACATTATAGAGTTAGAAAGGTCGACAACACGTGATTTACAGCATGCTTTCCTTCCAACTCTATATCTAAATGACATTTTGCAATAAAAAAAATCAAAACACAAACTATACAAACTTCTGAGCAAAAACTGCCCAAAACAGATTTTATATTCACTTAATAACAGATTGACAAGCGATTTCACTAAACATTCCGGACAGAAACCAAGACATAAGGGCCATTCATTTCCCTCCACAGAAATTTTACTTTCTCGACCCCTCACTATGAGACCACTGGTTTCTCGAGACTGGATTTCTCCGTCGCTTTGGAGCCTGTCCCGGAATTAGCTCTTGTACACCAGGATGGCCTTGAACTCACAGAGGTCCGCCTGCCTCTGCCTCTCGAGAGCTGGGATCAAAGGCGTGCGCCACCACCGCCCAGCTAAATTTTAAAATTTAATGGGTTTTAAGACAGGATAACTCAACACATAAGCGCTTAAGCCACTCGCGGGATTTAAGGACAATCAAGTGCACCAGGGTCGTGGACCAAGGACACTCATCTTAGCAAGGAAATCTGGGGATATCCCCGGGGTTGCAAAAAATGACAAATGAGGGGAGTGGGAGGCTGGGTCGCACGTGACCCATTCATGCTTGCTGGCCTCACTGGTGACCGGTGCCGTCTGGCAGTGGATCCGCCAACGTGGGACACCCGACTGGCCAGGCTTTGAGGGCTCTCAACGCAAAGGACACGCGAGGAGTCCCGGGTGGCCCACGTTGGGACCTGCGCCGGGACAGGGGTGTGCAGTCCTGGGTTCTCACCTCCTGGTCCTCGTTGGCACCCATCGCGCAGGGCGCACAGCGTCTGCGACCGCGAAGATCAGGCGGAGAGCGGGCGGGAGGCCGGAGTACCCCGTTTCCGCGACTCGGTCTGGGGAAACCCTCCTCGCAGCCGTGGGGACGAGCTCGCGCGCTTCCGACCCTCGGCGGCACCAACCCGCTGGCAGTCGGCTGCGGGCCGGGAACCCAGGATCTCGTTAGGTGGGACCGGGAACCGGGAACGCGTTAAGTTGTGGGGGGGATATCCAGATCTCTGACCAGGAGCTGAGGGGCGGTCACAGAGAGGCCCCGCCCCCTTCACGATCGCTTCTCCTATTGGCTCCTCATTTCCCCGCCCCCACGTCTTTCTCCTCTAGGAAATGTAGCCCCTGCCGTACAAGGTGCTCCATTCTGCTCTAGGACTGGTTGGGAGTACTGTCACTCAGGCTCAGAAAGTGCTTCCTGTGCCAGCGGAGGCGGGGAAAAGGAAGTCTCGCCTCCTGCCGCCGGCTGTGGGGCTGTCGGAACTCGGTGGCCGCGTTCCGTGACGCCCCTGCCTGGCTCTCCCGGTCCTCTCGGGGCTGGCGGTGACTCACCGCAACTGCAGCGGGCCCAGGGCGTGCGGCCTGGGTGAGTTGGGCCCGGAGACCCTGCTGGCCAGACCAACCCGGCTGACTGGCTTGGGGGACCTGCGTTTTCCCGTGGCGTCCACGGGTGCAAGCTTGGCAGTTCTCTTTCAGCTGCAAAGAAGAACGCGCTTATTTCTAGATAGAGAGCTCATTTCTGATAGAGGAAGATGGGGTCAGTTTCTAGGCCTGTGAGGTTACTTTCCTTTCCAGTTGTAGCTACCAGAGCCGAATGCTGTGACCCTGGGGACAGTGTCTTTTCTCAGGTTGTGATGCTTCTCTTCCTTTACCGTGTCGACCATGCACCAAACGATCGTTCTTTGTTTGAGCTTTTTGCAGTTGGACGTCTCTGAATCCTTGCTGCTAGCCGACGTCTTGCTCCCTGATCCATCTGTTCCTTGATAGCCGTCTTCGTTAGTAGCCACTTTGATTGGGTTAGCTTGTTTCTCTCCTACGCCAGCTGACACATTACTTCCGCTGCACTAACCAGGTGACCTGGTGCTGAGGTCTTACTTTCTGCTTCTGTCTATCTCCTCCCTGTCCACAGTTTGCTTGGTTTCTCCATTTATTTTTCCGGAAGTCAGGAAACGACCCCTTTCCTGCGTGTTATTGAAATTTATTCAGCCAGTCCTTGTCCTGTCCCATCCCTTTGAGATCCACCGCGGCTTAAGCAGGACCATTGCAAGTGCCGAAGCTTGTACGGCAGAATGTGGCAGGGGTTGCTGGTGCAGTTTCCGTGATGGTGTTGGAACAGGTGTGCTGTATTTGAGAGCTGCACTGTCATTTGTGGTAGACAGTAGCCGTGGTGACTATGGAGCACTTGGAACGGGCTAGTCTGAACTAAAGTGGGCTGAGTATAAGATACAACACCAGAGTTTAAATACAGTGCACAAATAGGTTTTTAAAAGTTCATCGATAACTTATAGTGATGTTTGGAGAATATTCTTGGGTTAGAGTTTCTTTCTTTCTCTTTATTCTTTTTCTACCCCCTTTTTTCCTTTTCTTTTCTTTCTGTCTTTTTTTTTTTTTGGAGGGGAGAAGGGGTATTGAGGTCGCCATAGCCCTGGTCCTCCTGGAACTACCCTGTTAGACTAGTCTACTGTGGAATTTAAAGCTATCTTCCCGCCTGCCTCTGCCCCTGCCCCTTGACTGCTGGGTTTACAGGAGTTTGCTTTCTGGACTGGCTTCTCTTTTTACCTTCTGATGTGACTGCAGGGAATTTTCACATGATTTATGTGACTCGTACTGTAATCCTCTCAGGCAGTACTAATTTAAAAACTTCATCAGTCCTTTCTGCTTCCCCTTATGACCACGCCATATTCAAGGGCCACAGCTATTTCCCCTGAGCCTCTGGAAGTATTAAGGGAACTGGGTTTTTCACCCTCTTGTCTAGATTGTCTGGTATTATGGAGCCGTATTATCTTGTGAGCTCTCCTAGGCTATTTCAGTCTTCGTCCTGAATTCTCTGGAAGCAGTGTATTTCTTTGTCCTCACAGCACAACCCTTCCTATGAGTCTTTGAGAGCAATTCTGCAAGCTTGTGTTGTAGATACACATCATTTCTGGCAAGTGTTCCAAATCACTTTCCGATATCCATTGTTCCTTTTGCACTTAGCACGTGATAGCTAATTAATTAAGATGATTAACTTTTCGGTTAGAAATAGTCCACAATTGTGGGGAAAAGTGGCATTTTGCACTTCAGTTTTCCCAGGGACAGCGTTGTGTTTTGTATGATGTGATGACGCCAATCACTTTTTAAAAGGAGCATATGAGAAATCCTTTTGGAAATGAGGAATCATTTTAAATATACAGTGGTAATTTTGTTTGGAATAAGAACATTTTTATATAATTCTTTCTTTCTTTTTTTTCTTTCTTTTGGTTTTTTGAGATAGGGTTTATCTATCTAATAGCCTTGACTGTCCCGAATATATAATTATTTCCAGAGTCAGTGCATGTCTGCATCCATTGTTGACTTAGCTAAAGGACACAACAGAACCGTGTTCTCTATGTGTTTCCACCCATTATTAGTGTTTCTCTTAGAGACTTTCCTTTACCTATTGCATCATCTTACTTATGAAAACTGAGAAACATCTATTAGATAATACACACACTGTTTGAATTATCTTCTAAGCACTGAGGGATTAGATATTTGCAATTCCAGAGAAATCAGAGGCAGTTGGATGTGTGTGTGTTAAATATAAGTCAATAACTTTTTAAATTTATTGATTATGGTTGATATAGAGTACATAGCTTGAATTAAAAGAAAAGCATTTTTAAGACAGTCTTACTATTTTGCACCCAGCTGACCTGAGTGCTTTATCCTGTTTCTGCCTCCTGGGGGTTGGGATTGCAGCATGTGCCAGTCCAGACCTGTTTTAATTTCATAACTTCTCTGCTTTCTTAGCCTGCTCGTCCCAAACTTTGGCGTACATTTTCAAAGATTACTGTGAAAATAGCAAATTTGTCTAAAAATTGACTACAACCTCTTTTGTGAAATTTGAAAGAAAAATGCAATGCAATTAGTAATTTTAATAAATGTAGTTTAGGAATTGAAGTTTTTAATTTTACTCTCTCCGGTGTGCTTGATTGTGTACATGCAGAGCCGTTTGACTTTATAACGTTTGTATGTTGGATGTTGATGTTGGTTTTTTTAATTAACTATGAATATCCTGACATTTGTATTTCAGATTTTTCTGTGACGTCTTAAACATGAGCCCCACACGGTGGGACTTCCCTGTGGAATTATGTTGTCGGCCTATGGCTTTTGTTACACTTACTGGCCTTGATGTAGTGTATAATGCTGTGCATCGAGCGGTCTGGGATGCTTTCTGTGCCAATCGGAGAGCTGATCGGGTACCAATTTCTTTCAAGGTGCTCCCAGGTGACCATGAGTATCCAAAATGTAGATCTAAGGTAATGGCATTAGGACTGCGTGCCCTCATTCAGAGTCCCTGTCCTTTTCCACCCCACTCTCACTCCCAACCCTGTTCTGTGTGTGCGTGCGTGTGTGCGTGTGTGTGTGTGTGTGTGTGTGTGTTGGGAACTTGGGAACCCCCTGAGTTTATGGGGGTTACTGTTGTGCCTAAAAGGAAAAACAGTGTTTTTATGTACTTTGGGGTATATGCATATGTTTAATAACACTTATTTTTAACCTCAAGAGGACTAACTAATTACAGTACTTCTACACTGTGAGCCTACATTTTTCTTTAATAATTTTTTTTGTGTATTGTGTGTGTGTGTGTGTGTGTGTGTGTGTGTGTGTAGGTTCACTGACAGCTCATAGTGTCCATCTCTTCTGCCAGCATGTGGGTCCTGAGGACTGGACTCAGGGAGTCCTAGGCTTTGCAGAAGGTGCCCTTTCCATCTACCCCCATCCCTTTTCTTTCCATAAAACAACCCCCCCATCTCCACAATCTGTAAACAGATGAAGCTGTAGTGGACCCTGATTGCTGTAACATTTCACAAGAACAGAGATGATGGGGAAGGAGAAGTAGACCTGGGAAAGGGCTGAGCCCATCTTTACACACAGCTAGACCCTTGACGATATTAGGCTCCTTGGTTTTGGCTGTCCTTCCTCCCCTGGAGGGATAGCGTTCGTGCGGTTGAGATTCCATTCTAACACCTAGACCCTCAAAGCTATTATTAATTTCTGATGGATGTAGAGTCCTCATCTTAGACAGGGCTGTGTGCATAGTGAACACAGCAGATGTGTATAAAGTACCTGGCACTCCGTTTTGTCACCGTCGGCAGAGAACATCCTACGAGTGGTACATCCCTAAAGGGATCCTGAAGACCGGCTGGATGAATAAGCATCTGAACCTGGTGCCGGCTCTGGTGGTTGTGTTCTATGAACTGGACTGGGATGAACCTCAGTGGAAAGAAAAGCAGTCTGAGTGTGCTACCAGGGTGGAAATCGTCAGGTACGACGCTGGTGGGCCTTTGTGGTACTCGAAACTGTCTGTTCACTGGTTTACTTGTTTGTGTCAAGTATGGCGCAGATGGGCCTTCGTGGTACTCAAAACTGTCTGTTGTTCACTGATTTACTTGTTTGTGACCTCAGGGATTGTGTCCATGGCCTGTCTGTGCCAGGCAAGCAATCAGCCTGTTTTTTTTGCAAACACTTGAAAGTAATTCAATACTGTTTAAACTGCAGTGGTTACCTTGGAGATTGTTAGCTTCATTCTGTTTCTAAGAGGTGATATAAGTACTAACTATACTGTACTAGGGATATGAGGAAATTTAGAAGGCAAGTTGGCCTGGCATTTCAATTTATTGTCTATACTATGATCTCTTTGAGAGATAGCAATTTACTACCAGACCCCAAAGATATATTTTATTATTTAATATATTAATATATTTAGTATATTAGTATATTAATATATTTTCTGTGTGTGTTTGTGTGTGTGTGTATGTGTGTATGTGTGTCTATGCATGTGCATGCATGCTGGTGCTTGCAGAGACCAGAAGAAGGCATCACACCCCCTGGAGCTGGAGTTGCAGGCTGTTGTGAGCCACACAGTGGCTGCTGGGAATTGAACTCTGGTCTTCTGGAAGAGCTTCAAGAGCTCTTAATTGCTGAAGCATTTCTCTTGGACTCGCATAAGCACTTTACCATCTCTCTAGCACTTACAAATTATTAATAATTTGTTAT